AATCAATTATATTCAACTACCGTGCAGAAAGAAGGACGTGTTCCTTTAAAGTTCAAAGTTCAATGTCAGAGACTCGAAGCGCGCGATAACAATGGACGGACTAACCCTACTGAAGTTTGAGTCTTTTACTTGCGCAAAGGTAGGTTGTACTGTGGCCGTGGTACGGAAACTAAAGAGATGGCACTGCAAGTCGTCAGAACTGCTATGCATCGTTACCACTTCTCTCCTCTCCATGCTGAGGCAGTTTGCTGATGTGTCACCTCTGTACACGAACAGTTCCACATTTGTACTTTCACTGAGTGCTCATGCTTTTTGCCGGAGTGTGGATCAACGCCCACTCGTCTACTGTCCATGATTCGTCTTATTTAGAGCGCTGATATACTCTACCTATGCAGTAGAGTTAATTTGTGAAGATTTTCAACAGTGATTATTTGATGGTAATGAGATTCATACTAATCTGTGTTTCGAGTTAGCTTACGTTCCAATTCCATTTAACCGATTCGTGAAGAGCTGCTATATCTGAGATACCTGTTCCGTTCTCTAACGCAGCCTGTCGGCGCGAAGCTAGCCATGACAATTCCTGTGGAGGCCCAGCTAGCAGAGCGCTGGCACTCTAACGCTCTTCAGTTGCAGCAAGAGCACCTTGACAATTTTTCTCTTGCAGCATCCATTCATCAACGGATCTGCTCTCTAGCATAATGTGAAACGGTCATCTAAGTTTGAGTGTCTTTCCTTCCAAGCGCACCAAGAGGTGCAGGGAGGAAGACGTTGTAGACGACTTAATCGATTCAGTAGATCATATGTGTGCTCAAGCAGTCACCTTCAGCAATAAAGGAAATATGTATAAAGAAATAGCAAAGCTTGAAAAAGTCATAAGAGTAGCAGGGACAATGAAATAGGCGTTTCAAGCAACCACACCTTCGCAACATTCAGAGATCGACAAAAACACCAGTTAGAACTGAGTCATAGACGGATATAACCGAAAGACAAATACGATGACGCGACTCGACAAGCAAACTGTTAGAAAAGGAATGTGATAGTAGATATTAATTGGGTCATTCATTACGTCACAACGCTGAGTAGCTTTTAATAAAATGTATTAATGATAATTTGAAGAGAAGAAATCAATAACATATCTCCTATCTGCAAAGCACTGACTTGTGTACAAACAAAGCAGCCTAATGCATGGAAGGGTTCATTTGATAGAGTAACACTTCCAAATACAGTTACAACAAAGTGCTGAGAAGTGCTAAATGCCATAAAACAATAAGAAAAACGAAAAACAGGTGTAGCATGGAGTTCTTCAGGAAGTCCTTTAGAGGCGCCTAATGGAAAAGTGAGATTACAGAGACAGGATGTTTAACACATTCCGGACCGCGTGCCACACATGGTGCGTCATACATGTCTGCTCCCTGTGGCCGCATGACACACAATGGTTTGTCACAATCTTCAGAAGCTTCAAGAGCTGTTATAAGTTTCTGTGAGGGTACGAACTCGCGTATATGGACGATAAAATCATGCCAAATAAATCTCCAACAACTTCTTTGTAAAACGTTTTTTAAAAGTGTAAGTAATTCGTAAAACACCATGCTTTGGAAATGCATCGCACATAGGAAACAATTCGCTGATAGACTGATCTGCTGAGGC